AAGCCTTCATCTAACCTACATGGGCATTGCACTAGTGATTACATCTTTGCAAAGCTCATCCTTGAACACATATCTTGGCAGTTCCAGCCAGGTGTGTGTGTGTGTCCTCCCCTAAGGATATGCCCATTTGCTCTTAATCCAAATCCCATACCCCTCCCATATGTGACCTGGGACAAGTGGCTTAGCTGTCGTGGGCCTGTTTTCTCACTTGCGAAATGGTGTAAGACTAGACCCTTCCTCTAAGGATTTTGGGAGATTTAAAAAGAGAATTCCAGTTATCCACTTGAAGAGGATCCGTGGATGGTTCAGGTACCAGTGGACCTGAGCCTTTACCCCCAATCACTCTTGGCAGCAGCGTGTGACTCAGTTTCCCCATCAGGGCTGATGCTGGGTGTTTCAGTTTCCTCCCTCTGATGGGGGAAAACAAAACCCACTGTGACTTCCCTCTCTTCACACCCTGGGCTTCTAGCAACATGTGCACTTTCTACCCGACATGTACTACATTTAAACCATACAACTTGATTCTGGGTGAGATTTTCATTCTGTTCTCCCACTTGGTTTGGGTCTCACTCCCCCGGCCAGACCAGACCTGCTCTGAATTTTCTGAATCCTACCTGAAGCTGCCAGAGACCCAAATCGTCACCGAGAAGGTGACCTCCAGTCTGAGCTTGCAAACAGGGCTCTTGGTAGTCCAAAGACTTCTGCCCTGGGCAGTCTGAGGCCTGGGCCAGAGGCAGCTGGGATTTGGGCGGCACCCTGGCTACTCGGGGCCAAGCTGCTCAGAGTGAGACATCAGCGACCCGTGTCTAATGTGCAGCCCTGTGTCTGAGGATGTGGCCAGAGACACAGCTTTATTTTTCTGGCTGTTTTTGGAGGAATTGTGACCTCTGGTGAAGGTTGGTGGGAGACCAACTGTGTGCGAGGCTTGTACTGAGCGCAGGGACACAGATGTAATAGAGACACCTGTGGGAACCCTGAACACGACCCGGGTGATTAGGGCCCACTCAGGGTCCGGCTTCCGGAGGAGGCCACACACTGAAATGAAGAGAGAGACTAGAAAAGAGTTAATTTGGGACAAATGGGGGGCCAGGCAGGAGTCAACCTCTAGTGGGAAAACTTTCTAGACCACACATGTCAAACACAAGGCCCGCGGGCCAAATCCGGCCCGCCAGGCCTTGCAATGTGGCCCACACTTCGCTGTCATCACTGCACTCCGCTGCGTTCCATCACAATGACGCGCGGTGACATAGGAGGCTTGTGATCGCCAGCCCCGTACTTGCTATCTATTACGCATGCGCATAGATAACAAGTCACGCGAGATTCAGGAGGCGTGACCTATAGTCCGGCATCCGATGTGGTTGTGCGGGTGGCAGAGCAGAGGAGAGAGTGAGTGTGCGGGCATAAAAAATACTCAGCTGCCAGTTCCTGGCATAAAGTGCAGGCATAAAGTGCAGGCATAAAAATCGCAACAGAATCTTCCTGGCATAAAGTGCAGGCATAAAAATCGCAACAGAATCTATCTGTACCCAGCCAGGCATTTATTGACTGACTTTTTTTCTCTCCACTCCATCTGCCAAATCAAGCTATCCCTGTGCAGTTTTCAACTTTTTCCTTCTAACGCAGATTTCCAATAAACTACATCTTTTACTGCCAATATTGATCCCAAAATGTCCAGGAAAAGAAAAGTTGACAGTGAAGGCAGACAATTTAATGACAAATGGGAAAATGAATACATGTTTGTGCTTAGAGAGGGCAAACCAGTGTGTATATTGTGTTATGAGACAGTGTCGGTGATGAAAGAGTACAATATACGTCGTCATTTTGACACCAAACATAATGTTAAGTATGGCAAATATACTTTGGAAGAAAAGCATAAAATTGTTAAAGAACTAAAAGGCAAACTACAATCACAGCAGCAAATGTTTACAAAGGCTACAGCGAAAAATGATGCTGCAGTGAAAGCAAGCTTTATAGTGGCTGAAGAAATTGCCCGTACTTCAAGGTGTTTTTCAGAGGGTGCCTTTTTGAAGCAATGCATGCTAAAAGTGTGTGAGCAAGTATGCCCAGACCAGATACAGAGTTTTCAAAATGTCAGTTTGTCAAGAAACACCATTGCAGATAGAGTTCAAGAACTCAGGAAATCTATCATCACAGCTGGCCGAACAGGCATGCAGTTATCTCGCTTTTTCACTTGCTATCGATGAAAGCACAGACAACACTGATACAGCGCAGCTGTCCATCTTTATACGTGCTACAAAGACCGACCTCTCTGTCACTGAGGAACTTTTGGATGTAGCTGCCATGCATGGGACGACGACTGGTAGAGATATATTTGAGGCTGTGGAGAAATCTATAAATAATTTTAAATTACCCTGGGAAAAGTTGGTGGGGCTAACTACCGATGGCGCACCTTCAATGTGCGGAGAAAAGAAAGGCTTGGTTGGACTAATGAAGGAAAGAATGCAAAAAAGTCACTGCCACACACCCTTGATTACTTATCATTGCATTATCCACCAAGAGGCTATGTGTGAAAAGTTCTGGACATGAATGACATAATGACCACAGTCATTAAAACTATTAACTTTATACGGGCACGTGGCCTGAATCATCGCCAGTTCCAGCAGTTTTTACAGGAGGTGGGTACAGAGCATGCAGACGTGCCATACCACACAGAAGTAAGATGGCTGAGCAAGAGCGCAGTCCTCAAAAGATTTTTTGAGCTCAGAGAACAAATTGCTCTTTTCATGGAAAGTAAAGGAAAGCCCTTGCCTGAACTGTCGGATCCCGCCTGGCTATGTGATTTTGCTATGATGTGTGACATATGCGAGCATCTCGCCCAACTGAATCTGAAGCTGCAGGGACGCAAACAAGTCATCACGAAGATGTCTGACATGATCACAGCATTCCAGCGTAAACTTCAACTATGGAAGTCCCAACTGGAACAGGACAATCTTGCCCACTTTCCCGTTTGTTTGAGTATCTCAACCACTATTTCTGGTACTTTTCCTTGCAGTCGGCTGGCTACCAAAGTTAGCCGTTTACTAAGTGAATTTGAGCGGCGCTTCTCTGACTTTAGAACACAGCACTCAGGCTTTGACATCTTTGCCAATCCTTTTACAGTTGATGTCAACAATGTGCCCCATCACCTTCAGATGGAGATAATCGAGCTTCAGTCTGACAGTGGCCTGAAATCAAGGTTTCAGGATGTTGAAATTGAGGACTTCTACCCTCTACTGCCCCCTGACTCAATGCCAAAGCTCCGACTTCATGCTGCCCGTATTCTATCCATGTTCGGGAGCACCTATCTTTGTGAACAGATGTTTTCAATAATGAATCTGAACAAAAACAAGCACAGATCACGCATTACCGATGACAACCTCCATGCTGTTTTGCGGGTTGCTACAGCCCAAGAAATAAAACCGAACATTGACTCATTGATCCGGGGAAAACGGTGTCAGACATCTAGCCAGAAAACAAAACAATGAGCATTTTAGGTACATTCCAATATTACTGTTTTGCTTGATACCAATATTACTGTTTTGCTTGATAGCATGTGAGTTGGTTAACAGCACTGTTAAGGAAAAGATTGTTCCACTCATTTTAAATTCACATTTCTGGTTAACATTGTCAGTTTATGACTGTTCAGTAAACCATTCGGCCCGCGATTTAGGCTGGATTTTAGATTTTGGCCCCTTCTCTGATTGAGTTCGACACCCCTGCTCTAGACTCTGGCCTTGCTATCCCTTCAATTGAGGCTGCTATGGGATACACCCATTACCCTTAAACAGCTTTGGGAAGCACCCATAGCCCTTAGGCAGGTAATAAGCGGATTATCATATCAGTAAGGATTTACATGATTACAAGATGGGGAAGTTGCCTCAGTTACTATTGTCTCAATTAGATGGGGTGTGGTTGGCTCTGACCTTTCAGAGCTTCAAGGTTGACCAGCCTCTTTCTATTAGTGAGACAATGATTGGTTTCCGGCAGACACCCTCTTAGCATGTAAGTTCTAACCCTTACGTTATAGGAAATGGGAAATAAGCCAGAAAAGCTGTAAGGAATGATTTCTTTTAGTGAAATGAGGAAATGAGATGGATCTCCTGGGTGGAGGTGCATTCAGCCCGTAGGAAAGGCCCCTCGGAGGAGGTGACAGCCAGAGAGGGCTTCTAGGAAGAGGTGACATTCCAGCTGAGCCCCGAAGGGGAGGGAGAGGCTGGGTTTGTGTAACTGCTGGGCATGTTCCAGGCAGAGGACACAGCAAATGTAGAGCTGCTGGGGCGAGCGTGGGGAGATAAGAGGGAGGAGAGGCTGAGGCCTCTGGGCCACGTCAGCCTCCTTAGCAACGCGGAAGCCTGCAGGGAACCTTCCAGTACCATCCAACTTCTGTGATTCCAGGGGGCTCTAGCCAAGTGGCCTTCCGAACTCAGGTTCCCCATCTGCAAAACAGGACGAAAAGAATATATGTTTTAAAAAATACATTTTATTGATTTTTTACAGAGAGGAAGGGAGAGGGATAGAGAGTTAGAAACATTGATGAGAGAGACACATTGATCTGCTGCCTCCTGCACACTCCCCACTGGGGATGTGCCCGCAACCAAGGTGCATGCCCTTGACCGGAATCGAACCTGGGGCCCTGGGACCCTCCAGTCCACAGGCTGACGCTCTATCCACTGAGCCAAACCGGCCAGGGCGGAAAGAATCTTGCTCATCGGGAAGTGAGGGGACCCCCAGGTAACTCAGGCAGGCACTCCATGGACACTTGTGGAATAGGAGACCAGCTTGTCCCTAGCGCCTGATTCAGTGATTTCCAACGGCCGCCTCCTACGGTACACACTGTCCCCGTTACCAGTGGGAAAACCGAGGCTCTGCAGGGCGGGAGCCGGCGCTCCGGGCTGGAAGGCGACCTCGGAGCGGTGCCGTTGGGGGCCGAGCTGGGGGTAGAGGCGCGGGGGGAGGGGGTGCCCGGGCGGCGGGCGGGGCGAGGCCGGGCGGGGCGGGCCCGGGGCGGGGCCGGGCCGGGCTCCGCGGCGCAGGGCGCGCCAGTCCGGACTCCCGCGAGCGGGTCGGAGGCGCAGCCCGAGCGCCATGGAGCAGCCCCGGAAGGCGGTGGTGGTGACGGGTACGCGCGATGGCGGCGGCCGGGGCCGGGGCGGCCGGGGCCGGGGTGGGGCTCGGGGTCCGGGCCGGGCCGGTGCTGGAAGTCACGTCGCGTTTGGAAGATGTCATCGCCCGCGGGAGCTCAGCTCGGTCTGTGCAGCGGAGAAAGTGGAGAGGGGGCGCCCCTGGGGTTCCAGGATCGGGGTCCGGGCAGGCGGGGGCGTGGGGGTCCGTGGAGTGCTCCGCGCTGAGCCATCTGCTCCGGCGCCGCCCTCCCGGGGGGACACGGTGACCCTCCGGCACCTGCTGTCCGTCCCCCCGCGGTGAGCGGGACCGGCTCCTCCCGGCACCTCGGAGGTCGGCCCGGCGCCGCCCCCGCCCCCGGGGACAAAGGCCGGTCTGTGGGCAGGAAGCGCCCCGGTGACAGGTGAACCGTCTGCGAGCCGCTGCTCCCCGAGTCCTGCGCCAATGGGACGGCTCCCCCCTTCCCCCACCCCAGCAGGCTGGGCGGAGCTCAGGGACTTGGGGTGCCCCGCCACGCTCCCGCTTGTCCCAGGCGCCGTCTTGGTCAAAACGTCTTCTACCCGGGCTGTTTGTGGTTGAGCCTGGCCCCCCGCTGTCACCGACTCCCCCAAAATAACTGCTCCTCCGAGAGGTTACTCGCCTCGGGACCACGTGGGCGTCAACTTCCGCTAGGCGTGCGACTGGGGAGTCATTTTGACTCGCGCCCCAGTGGGAAGTCCAGCTGAGGCACACCGGTGGCGGGGAGGGGGACGCGGGGGTAGAGAAAGGGGGGGACTAGCCTGGGATTCCCAGGGAGAAGGGAGAAGACAGGCCCCTGACCCACAGGTGTGGGTGCCTGGGGGGAGGATCCTGCCCCCAGCAGCGTCCTCCGGCCGCTCATTTGCAGGCTGCCATCAGATGGGGCATTGTCCTCCCCTGAGCTCATGACATCTCACCTGTCTCTGTTTTGCAGAGGGGGAAGCTGAGGGTCACAGAGGTCGCCCTGTCTGTGAGGGGCTGAGCTAGGACTTCTTGGTTCCTGCCAGAGGAGGGAGAGGGGGAGAGGGCCTGACTCAGCCTGGAGGAGGGGTCCCGCTGTCCCAAGGCCTTGACGCTGGTTGGGACCCTTGGCCCACCTGGATGGCCCAGCTCCGGGGCAGCCTCCCTCAGAGGTGCTTATTTCTCTGGGCAGGTGACCGGGCGATGAGAAGAGGCGAGCCAGGGATTCACGGGTCTGTGTTTGAATCCCACCTCTTCGGCTCTCCCGTCTTTTCCTGGTGTGACTTTGGGCAGCTGGCTTCCCCTTTCTGGGCCTCAGTCTGGCTCCTGTGAAATGGGCCCAAGAACACCCTTTCTTGAAAATGGTTGTACACAGAGCACTGAGCACAGTTCCCGGCCTTGGTTTGTACGGGGGCTGGAGTACGAGCAAGTGGGTAGGAGGGTAGGTCCAGGCAGCCTGGCCTGGGAGACACCCACATGCTTCCCTTAAAGGCCTCTCTTTCTTTCTTTCTTTCTTTCTTTCTTTCTTTCTTTCTTTCTTTCTTTCTTTCTTTCTTCCTTCTTCCTTCCTTCCTTCCTTCCTTCCTTCCTTCCTTCCTTCCTTCCTTCCTTCTTTTTCTTTCTTTCTTTCTTTTTTTTCTTTTTTCTTTTTTTTTAAGATTTCTTATTGATTGTTAGAGAGGAAGGGAGAGGGAGAGAGCAAAACATCAATTTCAGAGCGAAATATCAATTGCCACTTGGTTATGTGCCGGGATAGGGAATTGAACCTGCAACCTTTGGGTAGGCGGGGTGACACCAACCCACTGAGCCACACCGGCCAGGGTCTGGGCTGTTCTTCATTCAGTGGTAACTCACAGAGTGCCTGCAGCCCCCTGCGTTTCCAGAATGGGGGAGCGGCCTCGCAGGAAGACGGTGATAAGATAATTGTACATTGGGTCAAGGACAGGGGAGGAAGTTGAGAAGAGAGCAAGACCTTTTCTGGATCAAAAGGAGGCCGCTGGCCTTTTGCCAGGCGTGAGAGTCACATGAAAGTAAGGACAGAAAGGAACACACAGCTTCCATTAAGAGCAGACAAGTGTGTGGGGGCGGCTCTCACAGCCCCCCTCCCCCCCAGCCCCCGACGTTCCTCAGGTGGCAGCTGTTCCTGCAGCTCCCCGCTCTGTTCTGCGTGGCGGCGCCAGCCTGGCCCTGGCCGGCTAAGAGGGGCCACTCTGCGGTGACATGCTGTTTTGTTTTCTCAGGGTTTGGTCCTTTTGGGGAGCACACCGTGAACGCCAGCTGGATTGCCGTCCAGGTAACTCAGACATGAAGGGTAGGCATCCTTCTCGGGGCTGGGCTCCCCCTGGCAATATTTGGCACCACTGAGAGCATCTCCTGTGACGCTTCCTGTGACATATTTCAGTCTGATGCACACGTCTCCCCAGAGAGCAGCCGCTGTGGCGCGCGAGTGTTGAGCGCTGCCCTGGGCCCAGCACTCCGAATTTTCCTGACGACTCCTGCGTGGTCGGGAGCAGTTATCCCTGCACCCACTTGACAGATGGGGAAACTGAGGCCCGGAGAGAATGATCTGAAGCCACACAGACAAAAAACTGGAATGGCATTACCTCAGAAGCGCCCCACGCCCCAGCCATGTTTTGGGGGACCAGGCAGGCATATGGGGGGATGTGTTAACCTTGGAGGGTGGTACCTCCTTGCAGCTGAGGGAAGAGAAGGCTGTGGATATTGGGGATAGGGGCGTCTTTCCTGAGCAGGGTGTCCACCAGTGAGCCTTCCAGTTTCTTTGTCGGATGGGGCGTTTGGAGGGACAGACCAGGGAACAATGGGCAGAGAGAAAGAGAGAAACGTTTTCTCCTTATATAAATCAGATCCGCAGAGACCGGAGCCAAGCTCCAGCTAATCCTAGCCCATTAGCTGCTTGATTTAAAGCACGGCATGCTTTCCACGCCAGAGCCCTGAGTTTGGAGACAAATTCAAGTTGAAACGTTGATGGGTCAACCCCTCATTGGAGCGCCCCACCTTTTTTTTTTTTTTTTTTTTATCAACCCCTACTCCAGACCTCAAAAATCTTAGCACCTTTAAAAAAAAATTATCACTCAGGGATGGGGTTCCCGGGACCCTGCAGATGGGAGCATGTCCGAGCCCTTGCTCGGAGCACCCGCTCCCTGGAGCCCCAGACAAAAAGGAAGCAGCGTGTTTCTGAAGACTTGTGTGTCTGGCTTTGTGCGAGTTTCAGACCGGAGCCTTCACGGGGCTGAGTGGACACAAAGCCGTGTGTCTGGATTCCTGGGCCCCAGACATGATGATCTGCATCTAAATAGGAGAAAAATCAATTAAACAATCTTTGGAAATCCCCCCTCCCAGCTTTGGGACTTGGATGGGGAGGGGAGGGGGGGGCAGGGGGTGGGTGGCTGCTTTCCAGGCTGCTGCCTGAGGGGAAATACACCTTCTGTTTCTGTTGCTCGGCTCTCCAGACCTGGCCTCTGGAAGCCTTTCCGTTTTCTCCCTCAAGTTTATGAAACAAGAAGAGATTTTCCACTATTCCCCAGCTCAAAACACCAACCTGCCCAGATTCGATTGTTTCTCTGTGTTTTGTTGTTGATTTTTTTAAACTGGAGTGGTACAGATAACCTCTGAGTACCCACACTCCTACAACTCCGTGGAATGTTAGCACCTGCACCTCACGTCACCTGCGTCCGGATCAAGGGCTAGAACATTCCAGCCCCTTCTGCCTCTCTCAGCTGCCCCCCTCGCCGAGATGCAAACCTCTCGCCGACTTTGTTGCCACCGCAGGAGTCTTGCCTGTGCTGTGCTTGTCCCCACTTGTCTGCACGCTCCACCCAGGGGTTGCCCGGAGCCCACATGGGCACTTGCAGTTGCCCTGGATAAAACGGATTGGCCGTGGAAAGAGTGCAGCTGTCGGAGAGGCCCAATGGATACCTAGAGAAATAGGCCTCGAGTGTGGTCCAGACTCAAGTTGCAGGAACAGTTGTCTGTCACCTGAGGCTGAAGATGGGCATTTGGTTACAGAATGACAGCGTCACTTTCTGCCCCAACTGATTTCTCAGAAGCCCAAGTTGCCATCTGGAGAAGGCACGTCTCTCCCTGTCTGTCTCTCCTCTCCTCTCTCCATCTCTCTCTTTATCCCCGTATCTCTTCCCCCCCCCCATCTCTTTCAGTTTCTCTTGGCCTCTCTGGGCCCCTGTCGTTCTCTGTCTCAATCTGTGTCTCTCTCCCCTTCTCTTTACATCTCTCTCCATCTCTGTTTCTCTGTTTTGCTATTTCTCTCGGCCTCTCTGAGTCTCTCTTCCTTCCCTACTCCCTTTCTCTCTGTCTTTTGCTCCCCTTCTTTCATGGGACCGTCCTTCTTCAGCCTTAGGTGACCCTCACCGGGAGGGACTGAGGGGTGACCCACGCTTTGGTCTTCCCCCAGCAGGGGGCTCCTCAGCACCTCGCAGGAGAGGTTGTATTTCCTGTGTCCTGTCTCCCCCGGTGGCCCGGGACACCAGCTGCACGTCTCCCTCGGCGGCCCAGGCAGGTGTAGGTGTCAGGGGCCAGGACCCCGTGCTTGGGGCCGTCTGGAGCATTCCCTGCCTGGGCAGGCAAGGAGGAGCCGGGTCACAGTCCCGGTGACATCACAGGACAATGACTGCCACAGCGCGTCTAGACAGACCTGCTAAGGCTATTAAGCAGGGAACAAAGAGGGTCTTTGTTGCGGGGTCAAGGGAATCGGTCAGACGCATCCGCGCGCGGTGGAGCCTTGTCAGGTAAACGGGGTACAGACAATGCTCCGTCTGGGACACCCCGGCCGCTCCCTTCCTCTCACGGATGCGCTCGCTGCAGATCGCTGTGGGACCCGGGGTGTGCTGCCAGCCCCCCAGGAGAGCCAGCTGGCCCTGTCGGGACAGAAAGTGTTCAGAAGCAAAGAACTGAGCGCGATTACTGGTCGCCCACTTCTCATCACTTCAGAGGAACTTAATAGCTGCTCTTTGACCTCCATGACCCTTTTTTGAGTTGGAGAGTAATTTGCATAGAACGGCACATACTGATCTGCAGTATCCCCCTCACTTCGGAGAATAGTATGTATGCCCACGTCTGCAAAGCTCCGTTGCTGTCCACCTAGAATGTTCTCTCCTGCCTCCCCCACCCCCGCCCCCGCCCCCGCCCCCGCCCCTGCCCTGTCCTGCCCCAGGGACAGCTGCCATCCTGAGCTCGGTCACCGTAGAGGAGTTTTGCTTGGTTTTGAATGAGTGGCACAGCCTCTGTACCCAAGTGTGCCAGCTGCTTTTGCTCAGGCTGCTTTGGTGCAGGAGGGGCACCTGGCTCTTTCCCCGGTTCGCCCCCTCCTCCCGTTGACGGTGGCATTTGCAGACTCAGGGTTTGCTCCCGTCAGGGTCTTTGCCGAGAGGCAGACGGCTTGCTATGGGCTGTTGGACACGACGTGTGTGCATCTTCTTTGATTTCTGGAGACTGAGGGGTGACCCCACACTTGGGTGGTTTTCATCGTTTAGATTTTCCCCCCAGCTGGGAAGGGGCTAGCTCGGCCCCCGGAGAACACGGGGAACAGAGGTTAGATCAGGACGGTGACTCGTCCTGTGGCTCCAGCTCATTTCCCAGCGCTGAGGTGATGTGGGCGGTGGCCTGGTGCTCAGGCTGGAGGAGAGGGCGGAGGGAGCTTGTGGGGGGATCTGCCGCCAGCGCCAGGCGTCCGGCCTTGGCACATCCTGTCAGGTGGCCACAGGGAGGGTTTCTGTTCCCCAGAGGGGATTGCTTGGGTTGCTCACTAATCAAACTACAGGTAGCCCTCGGTTACATCGGACTCGACCTAGATCGTTTCGTGGTTACATCGCCATCTCCCATTTATTTATTTATTTAAAAAAAAGTTCTGTCATTTCAACGTATGTACATATGTGCTTTATTTTTAAAATGTATTTATATATATATATATATATATATATATATATATTTTTTTTTTTTTTTTTTTTTTTTTTTTACAGAGAGGAAGAAAAAGGGATAGAGAGTTAGAAACATCGATCAGCTGCCTCCTGCACACTCCCCAATGGGTGCCTGTAACCAAAGTACACGCTCTTGACCGGAATCAAACCTGGGACCCTTGAGTCTGCAGGCGATCTATCCATTGAGCCAAACCAGTTAGGGCATGTGCTTTATGTTTTTTATTATTTACTGTATTTACCACAAGGAATTGTTATCTTCCTTTATTTTTTATTTTTTAAAATATATTTTTAGCCGAGACCGGTTTGGCTCAATGGATAGAGCGTCGGCTTGGGGACTGAAGGGTCCCGGGTTCGATTCCGGTCAAGGGCATGTACCTTGGTTGCGGGCATATCCCCGGTGGGGGGTGTGCAAGAGGCAGCTGATCAATGACTCTCTCTCATCGATGTTTCTAACTCTCTATCTCTCTCCCTTCCTCTCTGTACAAAATCAATAAAATATATATATTTAAAAAATATATATATATATTTTTATTGATTTAAAAAATATATATATTTTATTGATTTTTTACAGAGAGGGAGGGAGAGGGATAGAGAGCCAGAAACATCGATGAGAGAGAAACATCAATCAGCTGCCTCCTGCACACTCCCTACTGGGGATGTGGCAGCAACCAAGGTACATGCCCCTGACAGGAATCGAACCTGGGACCCTTCAAGTCCGCAGGCCGACGCTCTATCCACTGAGCCAAACTGGCTTCGGCTTGTTATCTTTCTTTAAAGTTTTCTTTTTTTTACTTTTTCACTTCATTACTGCTGTGTATGCACTCCGTGTGAGTGACATAGGTGCTTATGTAGGTGGGTTCCGACTTCCAGGGACAGATCGTAACCTGAGGACCTACTTACCATAGTAGCATCCTTGATCTTTGCCCCTGGGCCAACTTACTGACTGAGACTCTGAGCAGATAAGTCCTCACTCAGCCCGATAAATGGATTCTTTTAATTTCTGTACTTTTTCTTTCTTTCTTTCTTTCTTTTTTTTTTAATATATTTTATTGATTTTTTACAGAGAGGAAGGGAGAGAGATAGAGAGCTAGAAACGTCGATGAAAGAGAAACATCGACCAGCTGCCTCCTGCACACCCCCCACTGGGGATGCGCCCGCAACCAATGTACATGCCCTTGACCTGAATCGAACCCGGGACCTTTCAGTCCGCAGACCGACGCTCTACCACTGAGCCAAACCGGTTTCGGCCTTTTTCTTTTTTTTTAGAGAGAGAGAAAGAGAGGAAGGGAAAGGGAGAGGAAACATCCATTGGCTTCCTCCTGCACGCCCCCTACTGGGGATCAAACCTGGGCATGTGCCCTGACAGGGAATCAAACTGGCAACTTTTCTGTGCCCGGGATGACGCCCCACCAGCCAGGCACACTGGCCAGGGTGATGTGATACGATTTTAGATTCTGCCTTGGGGGTCAGGAGCTGGGACACTGTGGGGCAGAACACAGTGGGACTTGGTCTCCAAATCGAGTTGACAAACAAAATTCAGGTGTAACCAGCAAACCTCAAGCAAATGGTGGTCTGTCCATGTTTGTGTGGCCATAGGGATCACTGCCGTGTGTAGAACCCGGGTAAACGTTTATGGAATTGGGGAGCTGGAGTGGTGCTCACAGATCTGAAACCTCCCATGCTCTCGGGGGCGTTGACAGGGTGAAAAGCAGTCTGGTCAGGTAGGAGGCCTGCTCTGCCTCTGAATCTCAGATCCTTAAGGAATGTCTTCCCTGGTCCCAGGGCTCCGTCCAGAGAGCAGAGGTGTAGATGGAAGAATTGCAAATGCGAATGACGATGAGAAATGATGGTGGGGGAAATGAAATATTGTACAAAGTTCCTCTTTAGGGTATTTTAATGTTTTAAAATAAATTTCAGCCCGGCCAGTGAGGGTCACTGGTTGAGCATTGATCTATGAATCAGGAGGTCAAAGTTCGAGTCAAGGCACACGCCCGGGGTTGCGGGCTCGATCCCCAGTGGGGAGCGTGCAGGAGGCAGCCGATCGATGATTTTTCTCTCATCATTGATGTTTCTACCTCTCCTGTCTCAAATTAATAAACACATATTAATGAAGACATTTAAAAAATAAAATCAATATCAGACAGAGCAACAGTCTGCAGCTCACCAAGCACCAGTGTCTGGTTGTACTCCGCCCTCATCTGTCCAGCTGTGGGATATCTCTGGGGTTCTTCCTGTCCCACAAGTCATCAGGCTTGTGAGAGGGAAGGGGTTCCAGTTCCTGGTGTTGGCATTTGGGACCTCCCCCCACACACACACACACATCCCCGCCTCATCCCCGCTTGGCCGGCCACACACACCCATCTGGCCCCACCCACCCTCCAGGTGTCCTTGTTTCAGGTGACCTGCTGCACCCTCTTGGGGAGCAGTTTGGAAATATCCATCAGTGAGGAGAGGAGAGACCGGCTCTTCCAGGCGTCTCGGGTGTGGCGTCAGGCAGCAGGGATAGCAAGGTCAGGTCATGAAATCCTGAAGCCGCCGGAGGAGATGCGAGGACTCAGCCGTGGCAGATTCCCAGAGGCCAGTCACACATGCTGCACCTGGGACCGCCCACAGCCCCGGAGAATGCCCGCTAGCAGTAGCAGTTTCAAAGCCCTGCATGAGATCTGAGCATAATGTGAAATAGCTCGACTGATAATCATATCTGGAGTATTAATTCTACTATGAAGAATGCCCAGATTTTCATATTGAGCTGAAATCTTCATCCCCAAATAGCTCTGCCCACTCTGGGTCACTGTTCCTCCAGCGAATCTGGCCCTGGGCCTCCTGCTCACTGTGCCATGGGCCAGCCAGCTGGCAGGCTCTGCCCACAAGGAGCTAACAGGCAGACCCTTGGTGGGAAGAATCAGTGTTTCCCCAGAAAAGTGTACGCAGTAACCCCTAGCCCATTTTTGTGTGTAGACAATTCATGATGGTGCTTAAAAAAAAAAAAAAAAAAAAAAAGGATTTTATTGATTTTTTACAGAGAGGAATAGAGTCAGAAACATCGATGAGAGAGAAACATCAATGAGCAGCCTCCTGAACACCCCACACTGGGTATGTGCCCGCAACTAAGGTACGTGCCCTTGACCGGAATCAAACCTGTGACCCTTGAGTCGGCAGGCTGACGCTCTATCCACTGAACCAAAGCAGCCAGGGCAATTCATGATGTTCTTAAACCACCTCATGCCCAAGATGGTTTGAGGCTCCCTAAGGAGTTGGGGAGCCTCTGCATATGTTTGCTGAGCTCCTGCTGTATACCACCCACCACGTCTATACACAGTTCTTACCAGGTGTCACCGGGGAAAGTGTAGTAACAACAAAAACAGGAGTAACAGGGGCAGCGTTATTTGAGCTTTGCTTGGAACTCCTAGTGTGAATATGTTCATTCAATTCTTTTTTTATTTTTATTTATTTATTTTTTAATTCATTTTTCACAGAGAGGAAGAGAGAGGGATAGAGAGTTAGAAACATCGATGAGAGAGAATCATCGATCAGCTGCCTCTTGCACACCCCCTACTGGGGATGTGCCCGCAACCAAGGTACATGCCCTTGACAGGGATTGAACCCGGGACCTTTCAGTCCACAGGCCGACACTCTATCCACTGAGCCAAACCGGTCCCGGCTATTCAATTCTTATAAGCACATTATGAGGTTAAGTACTTTTTAAAAAAATCTCCATTTTACAGATGAGAAGACTGAGGCTCAGAGGGGTTAAGTAACATGCCCAAGGTCACAGAGGCAGGGTTCAGACCCAAGAGCCCAGCTCCAGGGGCTGCAGCATCACACCCCTGCCGCTCTCGGACGTGCAGATAGAGTTCGAGGCGAGCGGGTGGGGAGGGGGAAGAGGGAAGAGCTTCGGGGTACCCACTCTGCCCAGAGTCAGGACGCCGGCCTGTTTTCTGAGGATCGGCCAGTTTGTCCGCATGGAACACATTATTGCTGTGCTCCCTAATGTTCTCGCTCCCCCTCCCCTCGCTTTCAGGAGCTGGAGAAGCTGGGCCTGGGCGACAGCGTGGACCTGCACGTGTATGAGATTCCCGTGGAGTACAAGACCGTCCAGAGGCTCATCCCCGCCCTGTGGGAGAAGCACAGCCCGCAGGTGAGGGGGGCAAAGGCAGGCGCTTCCATACTGGGGCCTGAGGTGGGCACCCCGCCCCCGATGACTTATGGAGCTATGTTCTGCTTCGATCACATGCAACCAGTATTTTAAAAAATCACTGAGACGTTTTACATTTTTTTGGTGCCCAATCCCCAAAATCTGATAGTTTTTACATCTCAGTTAGCACCAGCCGCACGTCAGTGCTCAGTGGCTGCCTATATCTTATGTGTTCACACATTTTTTTACAGTGCCCCTTCTGTGTACAAGCATACACACCAATAATTGATGGTTGAAATGGAACTGTATTCAGTTTTAGTATCCTGCTTTTCATAAATATTTTATCATGAGCATTTCATTACCTAGGTCATTAAAAATCCCCCCTAAACATTATTTTAATCACTGGGTAATTTTTGTAATTAATATAACCATTCTCTTATAACTGGATATGCTACTTGTTTCCATGTTTTTTGTTTTTTGTTTCATTTTTATGAATAACTCGGAAGTGAGCATTGAGTGAAGATCACATCTTTGATTATTTTTAGGCTACATTCCTAAAAGTTATTCTTTGTCTTTCGCATTTGGCAATATGTGTTGGAGATCATTCCTTATAGAACTGCTTTGGGCATTTTAACAGCGACATAGTAGTTCATATGAGCTGCCTCTTGCACACCTTCTACTTGGGATGTGCCCGCAACCAAGGTACATGTCCTAGACCGGAATCGAACCTGGGACCTTTCCGTCCGCAGGCCAGTGCTCTATCCATTGAGCCAAACCGGTTTCAGCAGCTTTGGGCATTTTAACAGCGACATAGTAGTTCATAAGTTATTTAACCAGCCCACACAAATAGCTAGTTATGTGTTTTCCAGTATTTGATTGAATCAGAAGGCTACAGGGACATCCTTGCATGGTTCACATCCTCGTCTGTTTCCCCGGACACACCGTTCTGCAGGGGTGACTCTGGGGTCTCTCCCAGCAGCAGGGGATCAGAAACCGTGTAACCCGGGGGAGCCTAGCAGGATGCCCCCTCGCCTTGTCCTGAGGGCCCCCGGGCCCAGGGGCAGACCCCCTGAGCCCTGCCCATCTGCCTGCAGCTGGTGGTGCACGTGGGCGTGTCGGGCATGGCCACCACCGTGACGCTGGAGAAGTGCGGCCACAACAAGGGCTACAAAGGGCTGGACAACTGCCACTTCTGCCCCGGCTCCCAGTGCTGCGTGGAGGACGGGCCCGAGAGCATCGACTCCATCATCGACATGGACGCCGTGTGCAAGAGGCTCACCACGCTGGGCCTGGACGTGTCCGTGACCATCTCCCAGGATGCCGGCAGGTAGGGCCGCGGGAGCGGGTGTGAGTGGGTGGCCCGGCTGGTGGTGAGCAAGCCAGGTGTGCTGGCTTTGGCCTCCGAGGGCTGAAGGCTCACCATTCACGAACCACGGAACAAAGGATACACACGTAGCGGGTCGCGCCGGTTCTGCTTCCGGAACTCGTTACCTGTGGATCTGCCCCCTCCTCCCCACCCGGGTCCCTGCCGTCTCCCCTCTGGATGCCGCTGCAGCCACCTCCCTGCTCTTCCTCCTGCCAGGCCTCCTCCAGGCCGCTGTCTCCATCCCTCGCTTTCCTGCGGCTGCTGTCACAAAGCCACACACAGAAACGTGTTCCCTCCCAGGCCTGGAGGCTAGACGTCCAAAATCACAGGGTCGGCAGGTCCCTTCCTCCTCGAAGCTCCGAAGGAGCGTCTGTTCCCTGCCTCTCTCCTGACTGTGGCGGCTGCCAGTGACACTTCCAGCTCCTTGGCTTGTAGATGTGTTACCCCAGACTCTGCCTCGTCTCCCTATGGCCTTTTTTAAAAATCCTCATCCGAAGATATTTTTCCATTAATTTTTAGAGAGAGTGGAAGAGAGAGGGAAAGACAGAGAGAAATATCGTTGTGAGAGAAACACATGGATTGGTTGCCTCGTGCATGAGCCCCGACCAGGAACCGGGCCAGGAAGGAGCCTGCAGCCGAGGCGCATGGAACCCGAGACCCTTCAGTCCACAGACCGACTGGCTAGGGCCACGTGGCCTTCTTATAAGGATTTAGGACCCACCCTACTCCAGCATGACCGCCTCTTACCTAATTACATCTGCTGAACCCCCGTGTCCAAATAAAGGCTCATTCTGGGGGTCCAGGTGAACATGAATTTGGAAAGGAGACTATTACGGGTCTTTTATAAATTTTGGTCAGGTGATATCTTCTCCTTGCTGAATCCTCCCTAAAGCTCCCACTGCACCTGGAATGAAATCCCAGTCTCTCCCCACCATCCCCAGGTGCTGTGTGGTCTGGCCCCTACCCACTTCCCCACCCTCATCTCCCTCCACTCTCTCCTTCCCACTGCAGCCTCTTCCCGTCCCTCAGGCACACCTGGCTCACTCTGGCCTCAGGGCCTTTGCATGCGCTGTAGCCTCTGCTCAAACTTGCCTCCCTCCCATGAGGCCTCTTTCCGGTCTCAGCTCCAACATGTTGCCTCCTTCCCCAGGCCTCCTCTACCTCCCAGACCAAGTTGTGTCCTCTGTTCCACTCCCTCTCGGCATCCGGTACCTTGATTTCTCAACACTCCTTACACTTCTCCGGCCCTAAGGCAGCCGGGGACAAATTTAGTTGACTGACGGATGTAGGAGTGACTGAATGTATTATCCGTCTCTTCTTAAAACTAGTTTTAAGTTGCACCAATAATTCTAGACTAGGTTCTCCTATGTTCCCATTGTGAAACGTCCTCTTGCCCTCTCTCCTTCCCCCCAGTGATCCCTCTGGTAAACGAGAGACTTAGATTATGAGCCCTCCTATCACCTCCATGTCCCCATGCCTGTATAGAGCACGTGGCGTGCTGCTGTCGGGTTTTGTCCTGTTTTGCTTTGCTTTGATGTGGATGGGGTGACGTGGCATGGATTTTCCTGGGCATCACCTTCCTAGGTTCCACTTACGGACACACGACTGGGTCTTCGCGAGTTCTCCGTCTTCCTCTGGGTCTACCACACGCCTTGTAAATGGTTGCCAAATTTCCCGCCGTGTGGACAAACCAAGGTGTATCAAGCCCCGCTTCCGTCAGTGGACCTTTAGGCTGTGTCTTTCGTCTGTTTAAGTCGCAATAACCAAATGCCACAGACTGGGGGCGCTTGTCAACAACAGAAGTGTATTGCTCACAGTTCTGGAGGCTGGGAAGTTCAAGGTCAAGGTTCTGAGGAAGGTCCTCCTCCAGGTGGCTGGCTTCTTGGATGTCCTCACATGGTGGGAGGAGCAAGAGAGCTGTCTGAGGTTCCTTTATAAGGTCACCAAGCCCACTGGATAGGGCTCTCACTTCTCAAAGACCTCTTAATACCATCACATTGGGAACGAGGGCTTCGACATATGAATTGTGTGTCGGGGGCAGTGGGCAGGGAGGGACACACACACACACACACACACACACACTCGGACCCTAGCAGGTTGCTTCCTGTGCCCTTGTACACTGGCTCATGAAGGAAGGTTCTAAAAATTGGAACTCTCAGTTTGTCAAGACTGTGCCTGCGTCATCATGGGAGCCTGCCCAAGCGCCTTCCCTGGGGCACTTTGCATTCCCCACTAGCAGCTCGTCACTGCCTAGGTCCCCACGTACATACCAGCCCTGGGAGTTCACAGGTGGTGGTTGTTTTCGTTCTGCCAACCTGGGGAGGGAGAAGCAGGGCTCCTTCCCTCTGTGGCTCTCTGGTGGGATTGGGTGTCTTACGGGAGCTTTGGAGGCAGGTTGACCTCTCAGTCTGACTGCGTTTTGATCTCCCTCTTGTCCCCCTCTGTCCCGCGGCTCAGGTACCTCTGTGACTTCACCTACTACACGTCTCTGTACCAGAGCCACGGCCGCTCGGCCTTTGTCCACGTGCCTCCCCTGGGCAAGCCGTACAACGCGGACCAGCTGGGCCGGGCGCTGCGGGCCATCATCGAGGAGATGCTGGGCGTCCTGGAGCAGTCAGAGGACGAAAATCCACTGTCGCCACGAACACTGAGGGCCACGCAGGCCTCCCCAGGCCTCATCCTACCAGGGACCCAGGAGGAGGCAGACTGTCCGCCGGTGATCTGATTGGGATCAGATATTCCTGCTTCCTTACCTCCTCTCCCTTTTGGTCTGCAAAAGTGCTGGTTGGTTGCAAGGAGACTGCTGAAGATTTTTTTTTCTCCGTTTCCCTTTGCCTCTGGGGAGGTGGCCGTGATGTCTGGAGGCCCTTGGGTGCGGATTTCCGAAGAGAATCCCGGTGGGGTTTATCTCCACGCTGCGACCCCACCGCTGGGCACCTGTACACCTACTTTCTAGGGCTCTGGTGAAGGGATTTTGGAGTTCCCTCCATCCCAGGACTGGTTTTCCCCGTAAAAGCCTCTCCGAGAGTCTGCCCTGGTCCATGTCCCATCAGCTTGGACAGCCTTGGGCTATGCCGTGACATTGTTATTTCCAAAATTCTATTCTCTCTCTCTTTTTTGAGAGAGAGAGAGAGAAGGGGGAGAGAGAAACACTGGTTTGTTGTTCCACTCATGTATGCACTCATCGGTTGCTGTTTGTACGTGCCCCGATGGAGGATTGCACCTGCAACCTTGACATATCCGGGCGTCGCTCTAACCAAGGCCTTACTCTTTTTTAAAACGATAATGCGAGTCTGGGCACCGAGAACCGTAATTTATATTCCCTCCGGTGAAAACACGGCTTCAGCCAACAACAAAAGTGTCTTTTCCTTTCCCTGCGGTGCAGCCCCTTCAGCCTCCTGTGTCCCGAGCACTGGACCTGCTTCTTCGTTTGGGGACTGACACTGACCTTGCTTGGGTTTGGAGACTGAGGGGGGTGGGGGGGAGGGCCTGCTGACCCTTTCAGCACCCAAGCCGCGAGCTCTGGAGCGGGGCTCACCAGCGGGAAGGCCAAGTTTTCCATCTTGACATGTACAGGATTTTTTTTTTTTTTTTTTTTTTTTAATGTGTAAAAATTTGCAGCAGCTGAAAACCCACCGCACATCCTGCCTGGATTTTTGCAGCTTTGGTGCTAGGGACCAGCTTCCTGTTCCCGTAGGGGGCGCCCACAGCCGGGCCTGGGGGTGGAGTTTGCCAAGCTCCGTGTGTGCTGGCGCGCTGACCAGTGGGCTTTTGTGGAGATGGTTTGGGAATCGCCCCCAAATTCAGGAGGACATTTTTATCTCCCTCCCTGGTGACTGGACTGACAGCCAGGGGCGAGCGAGACACTTCCCAGGAGGCATCTCACCAGCTGTGTCTTGGCACCGGCAGGACAGGGTGGCAGCCGCAACCATGAAGCCAACCGAGAAACATACATATCCTGGAAGAATTCTCTTTTTTTGGAGAACATGTGGTTTTAGCATCTCCCTAAGCGTGAAGCAGACTAGAATCGAATGCTGTATGGAATCCCATCGATAGCCCCACATGCAAGTTTTTGTTCGTTTGTTTTTAATTTTTTGCTTACTGATTTTTAGAGTGAGAAGAAGGGAGAGAGAGAGAGAGAGAGAGAGAGAGAGAGAGAGAGAGAGAGAGAGAGAGAGAGAGAGGGAGGGAGGGAGAGGGGAAGAGGGAAACATCCATGTGTTGTTCCACTTATTTATTCACTCATTGAGAGATTCTTGTATGTGTCCCGGCTGTGTTGATGGAACCCTCAGCGGTGGTGTTTCAGGATGATGCCCCAACCAACAAAGCTACCAGGCCAGTGCTATTTTTAATTAATTATTTATTTTAAAAAATGGATCTGAGAGAGATTGAGAAAGAGAGAGAGAGACATCAATTTGTTCTTCGTCTTAATGTATGCAGTTACTGTTTTATTCTCGTGTGTGCCTTTGACCAGGGATCGAACCCACGGCCTTGGCATATCAGGATGACACTCTTACTAACTGACTTACCCAGCCAGGGCCAGTTTTGTGTGGGTTTTCTTAAATAGTTGATATTTTTACTATTTAAGATATAAATAGTTGATATTGAAACGTTTTCTTAAACGTTTACCTTCGTTCCCTCCTGTTCCAGGGCCCGGGCAGGTCCTCCTCCGCTGAGCTGCTATGGGGACTGGGAGCCAGGCGCATGGGCTCCTGGGGGAAAAGGCCTTTCTGACTCCGGGCTTTCTCTGGGGGAGGGGAATGGGCACCGGGGGAGGAAGGGGGAGACTGGGAGAGGGTGCGGGGCAGTGGGCGTAGACTGTGGCCGGCAGGCAGAAATGATTGGGCCTCTGCTTTCCTGTCCATGCCAGCCCTCCCTCTGCCAGGAATGTCCCCTCCATGTCCTCAGTCTGAGTTTGGGGTCTCTCCTGGGAAATCTGGGTGTTGGGATATAATTGCATCTGCTCCCTCACCTGGCTTCTGTGAGCAGAAATGGTGGCTCTTTTGAATGTGGGGGGCTCAAGACTTTTGGAGGGGCGGCAGAGGACCTATTCATAGCATCCAGTGCCATCTACTCTGCTCCCCAAGGTCTGATTTTGGGGGCTCTGAGGAGAAAGTGGATCTTGGCAAGATGGGGAGGGAGGTGAGGACTGGAGGTGAGCCAGGTCTAGTCTGGAACCCAGACGCTCCCCAAAGTCCGAATTTTCATCTTTCTTTTGTCCCCATTTCATCTCCCTGCTTAACGCACCCTGTGACTTAGCCACTGAGAGATGTGACTTACTGTCTGATCATTGTCAAGCGTGTGTGTGTCATTTTTATGTTCCCGCATTAGTTTTCAATTTCCTCCAGTTCTTGTCCATGATGCAGCACGTTTAGCTCATTTTTATTTAGTCAAATACTATTAAATATTTCACTCACTCCCTGACAGCTTCCCCCCCCCCTTTTTCCTGTTTTGAATTTTTAAAAAAATATATTTTATTGATTTTGTACAGAGAGGAAGGGAGAGAGATAGAGAGTTAGAATCATCGATGAGAGAGAGTCATAGATCAGCTGCCTCTCGCACACCCCCTACTGGGGATATGCCTGCAACCAAGGTACATGACCTTGACCGGAATCGAACCCGGGACCTTCCAGTCCCCAAGCCGATGCTCTATCCATTGAGCCAAATCGGTTTCGGCCTGTTGTGAATTTTAAAACATTTTTCTTTTGGGTCAACTCTCCATCCACTCCATGATGTGTCTGTCTGCATTTGTTGGGTCTCAGACCAAAATGTTTTTGTGAAGGAAGAGAGAGCGGTTCAGCTCCTCCCCTTGTCGATTTCAGAGTCTCAGAGTGGGGTACAGGATGGGACGGAAGAGGGGGCCTGTAGGGTGGGTGCAGCTAGTCAGGTGTGGAGGAGAACGAGGCCGGGAGAGGTGGGTGTGACATTGCTAATGGCGGAAAGTTGAACCGAGGGATGTGATGTGAAGGCTGAGGAGGGACAGGTGAGAAGTGATGATGGGGGTCTTATATGAAAGCTGAAGGGGGCCTCTCTCTGGGGAGCCCCTGTGGAGGGCGGGGTGCTGCGGTGGGGAATGGGGGGGCAGTGACTTGGGTGTCTGGTTTAATATGCCAGAGCCTCTGCGCCTCACACCTGATTCTTCTCTCAGCTCCTTTGGCTGTCCCTTCCCCTCCAAAAGAAGTCAGTGGTGTGTGCAGGAGGAGCTTAACAAAGAAAGAAGATGGTGGGAGGGAAGGAGGGAAAGAAGGAAGGAAGGGAAGGAAAGAAGGAAAAAGAAAGGAAATGAGGGAGGGAAGGAAAAGGAAGGAAGGGAGGGGGGAATGGAAGGAGGGAAGGGAAGGGAAAAGAAAGAAGGAAAGAAGGAGGGATTTGAGATCGTGTTTTGGGCCGGGTGCCACTTGGCCTACCTGGTCGGGTCAAGGAACAGCCAAGGCCCCCTGGCCACAGAGAGACAGGGCCAGGCAGGGGGCAGTCATGGCTTCCTGATCAGCGCCAAGTCTCTGGAGAGAGTATCAGATTGCAATCGTTTCAGCAAGGAAAATAATTTTCAGCTGCCCTGCTGCTTGTTGGCATGGAAACTTCCAGACAGGATGGGCCTGCTCAGGGGACAGCTGGAAAAGTAGATTCAAGATACCTTATTGTTATCTTAGAAGCTTCTGCTGGGAAGCTAGGCCAGCGGAGGGGGAGGGGGCGGTAACATCAGCATTCCTGTGCCCCTTGGGGGTACTCAGGTTGGGGGGGAGCTGCTGGAGGCCATCTGCCCCCCACACCAGCCTCTTTTTTTGCTGCCACTGTCTAGACGGTTGACCTTTGACCTCTCCACCCCTTGAAGTGTCTGAGCCAGAATTCTCCTTCAAGGATGGTGGGTCAAAGCTCCATTTTCACCATGTGCCCAGCCTCCACCGGAAGACCAAGCCTGCAGCCAGGGGGGCACTCCCCGAGGGTGGCCGGAGGGGCAGAGGCAGGCCACCTCAGTGCCAGGCTGCCCCCTCCTGGCCATGAATCCCGCGGCATCCATGGACTAGGAGGAGCCAAAAGGGCTTTTTTTTTTTTTTTTTTTTTCCATATCCCAGATGAGATTTCCCTCCTCCAGGCACAAGTGCCTTGTAAGGGCTGGGGCTGCCGCCGGGGGAGAAAGCATGTTGAAGGTCAGGGTCCCGCTCAGACCCGAGGCAGGGGGGCTGTTTGGGGCGCGGGCCGTGTGCCAGGGGTACATCTTGAACCCAGTACCTAGGCCGATGGTGAACATGGTGCAGGGGCAGGTGTCACCAGCTGAGTTCTGGGGCTCCCAGACCTGGAGGGGCTCCCCACTCTGCATATCCGTTTTTCCCCGTCCCTCTCCTCACCCAAGCTTTCCTCCGGCTGCCCAGACACCCGCAGGAGCGCCGGCCTCGCCATAGGGACGGCACGGAGTGGGGGCAGGGTCCGTGTGCAGGGGGCCTGGCGAGCAGCGCTCCTGTCCTGTTCGCTTCATCGCCAGGAAGTCCCAGGAGCCCGTCCGGAACAGGCGCTCCGTTCCCAGGCCTGTGGAGGCCCCAGAGCCACGGGAGGCGCCACCCAGGTCCTGGGGAGCGTTGGCTTCCCACCCGCCCAGGGGGTACCGGCTTCTAGGCCCTCCCCCGCCCCCCAACACCTCAGGTTTCCATCTTGACCTAAGTCTCTCCAGGAAAGAGCTTCGGTCTCCAACAGAGGACCCCTGCCCCCCAGGTGGCTTCTCCCCGTCCCCCCGAGTTCCTGTCAGTGCCTTGTCTGAACCCCACGCCTGGGACTCCATGCCAAGGAAGTGTCTAC